GCGGCGAAGCATTTTGGGCAGCGACAAAGGCCAGATGCCGCAGGTAGAGAAACCATTGACGACTGACTTGTTTTGCTCCTGAACACCGTTGACAGCAGGAAACACGGCATTGAATGCTTCGCCGGCGATATGGATGGCGGCCTGTCGGGGCAGAGTTGTGACGTTCAGCGATTGGAGTCGTTGGGTCACGGCACGGGCGATCGTTCGCTTGAACGTCCGGAACAACGCGACGTCGAGAGGTTGCAGCAAATGCGTGGCATTGGGAGGGAGTCGAGCGAGGTAAATCCCATACGCCTCACAAATCGTGAGACTGTTCTCCGACAGATGCGAGGAGCAGTTGTCGAGGACAAGTAAGGCAGGTCGTGCAGCACGTTCTCGCAACTTCCATTCACCAAACGATTCCAACCAACTGTCGAATAGGTCCGAGTTCATGAACCCCTTTGGAGCAGCCGACACCAATGCACCAGGTACAGGGCAGTCGTCAAGTACCCCGCGGGCGCAACTCTTGCTGGGAACGATGAACGCAGGTGGAACCGGCGTTCCATCGGCAGCCACAGCAGCCACGATGGTGAGGTGGTACGAGTCACTCTGCTCACCACGCCACACATTCTTGGACCCACGTATGGCGATGACTTTCTGAGAGCCACCCTTGGTCTTAAACTTGTCTCATCGACGTTGTAGACGTCCCCCGCCGTGCACTTGAAACCCAGGCACCCCTTGACAAGATCGTAGAAGTACATCACAATGCCCTCCTTGGTGACACAGTTGCGGGCATGGCTCAACTTTTGAGCAACGCGCGCCGACAAGTCATGATGTCGACTCTCAAAGCGGGCGAACCAGCCACGCCCAAGCGAACAAGCGACTCCAACATGGTATGACATGATGTGGCTGGCTTTGAGAATGACTTCGTAACGCTCGACAGGCCATCCACTGCGTTGCATTGCTTCGATCCAAGACACAAGATCGTCCTCCATGTCCGGTGGCATGAACGGCTTAGCACGTCGTTTCTTGATTGTAATCGAACCAGTCTGGGCTTCCATCTTCTGGTACTTGTATATCGTAGAGCTCTTCAATGGAGAGCTACGAGCAACAGCAGCAGGCTTTTCGCCATTTTCAATGCGCTTGAGAGCGGCCAGTATGTCGTCAAGTGTTGGTGGCATTTTGGAAATGGTTTTTCGCGCATAACTCTGTCAATGAAAGGAAAGAGGCGGCAAACGATCGGGCCAATCAAGGCCGTCATTTTGAGCTTAATTTGAAGGAAAACGGAGTAGAAATGACCAAGTTACAGGCAAAACGCTGAGTGGTTCTGGGTAAACTTATATTTTTATTGTGAGTTGTAATTTAATTTTCATTGAAACTGGTTCTACCTGCTGGAGGTGGTGAATATTATCATTGCCAATAGATTTTGATCAGCCTGAAATGGTGGTGCATAATTGGCTAAAATGGAAGTGTCCGAGAATTTGATGTCTTCCGAAAATTCGATGCACTACCTTAATTGAACGTACTTAATGCAAACGCATTTTTAAAACAGGTACATAGAAGTATACTATACTTGAGTCATAAAATAAAATAAAAGTTGAATAATATATAGTATTACTTACTATATCAGAGGTACAAATTATTAATGGTATTGAGCAAATATAACTATTTAAATAGCCTACTTCATTAAAATACTACATTTCATCGCTGGAATCGTTGCTTGCGAACGCAGAGCACAGTTTTGTAGTTGGGCCTTCAAGCTTCTGCAAGCAGAATATTTGATCGAAGACGTTGAGATTAAAAAATACTGCGTTAAAATCAGCCCAGTGAAAAATTTCTTTGCATTCGACTCGCCCAAACGGACAGTACAGTGGTGGTCAGTCAAACCCGGTTAGTGCACCTCTCTGAGTATTGAAGATTTAGTATAGGTAACTTCTCGTACGGTTCGTATTTGTTCCATAGGGTTGCAGCGTAGCCGAGCCACACTTCGTGGAGGACTTGCTGGCTCACTTTGCTGATGCATGGTTCACGGAGCCGGAAGCGATGGCGTTCAGCAAATCGCAGCAGTAAACGACGGAAAGTAGCACACGCAACAACCTCGCTATTCTTGTCGCTGAAGTACTCGGTGAGCCACGACATGTGATTGCGCTTCACCCACTGCATGAGGTGGAACACACGGACGTATTTCTCTTCCTCGGGCCGCTTTCGCATGTACACCACGATGTCATCGGTGAACGGGATGAGTTCCTTGTGACCTTGTCCACCGAGGGTTGCGTGTCGGCCATGCCGTGTGCTTGACAAGATCTTGGCTTCTCTCAAGCGCCAGTCTTGCCATGTGGAGTACAAAATGTTCTTCATACGACAGAACTGGCGCTCGTTGGAGACGTTGGACATGCTGAACTCTGCAAGTGCTGCCTTGCGTTGCGCATTCGTGTTGCGCTGTTGTCGGCGCTTGGATTACTCCATCGTCGAAATGAAAGTGAAATCCAAGTGTGTGGGGTGGCATTTGAAATGTGTTCAAATGTTTGAATCCAGCCAATTGCAGCCTACCTAACTTTCTATTGGTTGCTCAAGTACCGATGACGTCAGACATATATTTGTCCAATGAATGCGCACAATTCTACCTCGGTATATGTGAATTTTATTTTATTTTGGACTGTTGCGCTAACCGGGTTTGACTGACCACCACTGTAGTGTTGTCGGATGGATGCTCTTGACTTACTGTTAAGCCAATATTTGAAGTGCTTTTAATTCGCTAGACTTAATGGAAGTGACATACTGTACGCAAACGACAAAAGTTTATTTCGACAACTACAAATGCTCTAACGTTGTTATGCGTCGAAGATCTTCGGACCATTAATCTATATATATGTAACTACTTGCCTCCACCAACGCTTGTATCCAATTTTCATTGAGCTACGCGTAGACTTCAGTTGGTTGTCGGGGTACTGGTGATATCGTTACGTAGAATATTTTTTTAAGGGAACAATCGGATTTGACATCGCTTACACTATGCAAGGCAGCAATGGGGTTACAATTCAATCAATGTGGAAGTGATTGCGAAACTTGAGTTGGGTTCATTGAGTTCGGTGTAAATTGAATTAGCGTGATCCTGAATTCAGTGTTGGATTAAGCGTAGTCGTCGACGAGGGGCTTAGTGATGGTATCAAGTTAGGACTAAACTACTATTCTCAGAAATTCAAATATTCTGTGAATGTATTTCAAAGCACCAAATCAATACGTCACAATAAAGCCCCCTGCCCGCCCCCTAATCAAGTACATGGCTTACATCGCTATTATATGTATGCACACAATGAATTGCACCTGTGACAGCGTTTACCGACCTGCCAGCCAAGACCCCGCTGGCAGGATTTGTACACCCAACGTCCAATGAAGTAGACGTTTACGTCGCGGACTGGCTTGTCGATGTCTGTCAGAAACATGTGACGGGCCTCCAAGTGGCGCTTGAAGAAATACATCGCAACGTCGCGGTGCGAAGCGATAAGTTGCGCCAGAAAGCGCGTGGACGCCGCGACCGAAAATCCCAAGTCAAGTTTGCCGGTTTTTCGGTTGGCGATTTTGTACTCGTGGGGTTGGTCGTCAACCGTCCAACAAAATTGGCCCTGTATTGGCGCGGACCCTGCCAAGCGACCAGAGTCATCACAGATCATGTGATGGAGACTCAACTGCTGGTGTCACCGTACGAAGTCACGGCCCATCCTGCGTGCCGATTGAAGATGTACTACGAAGGTGATCGGGAGGTGACCGAAGTTCTCGAGGCGCAGATCGCGTTTGGCGATGGCAGATTTCATGTGGAGCGGCTGGACAAAGCGCCCTGTATGGATAACCAACACCAAGTTTTGGTGAAGTGGCTCGGACTCAACGATGAATAATCATCCTGGGAACCTGCGGTGAATTTGCTGGACGACATTCCAGACGTATTTCGCAAGTGGGCGGAGGCCAACAAGGAAGACCCGGCCGTGGCTGCCCTCATCAAGACATTGGACTTTCCGTAGGAGGGGAAGTATTCTGAAGTGTGCAAAGCAATTGGGTCGCGCTTTAGTTTGACCCATTGCAAACACACACACTCTGTGTGTGCCGTGTCAAAGGTTCCGATATCTTAGTGGATGTACTGAGTACTTTAGTGAATGGTAGTCAGTAGGCGCCTCGCGGCGTGTTTAACCTCACTAATGTCAGTGTGTTATTTTTGCTACCTTGACGAAGGTCCCGTGGCCGAAAGCCAAGCAGAAGCGGGAGACAAAACAAGCACATTCCAAGTAAGATCGTCCAGGCATTTTTGATTCCGGATAGCAGTGCCAGTGAAAAAATATTTGGGGTGGCTTCGGTATTTTACTGTTAACTGTAAGTCGTAAAATTTTCTACTAACGTTGCATTGAAGTACTCCAGTGTTTACTAAGCTTACCTCCGATTTTGTAAGGTTCACTTTGTTGAGCTTTGAATAATTGTATCTCAGTCAAAATAGGTTATTGCTTGACAATAATATCTTTGGTATACTTCCAATTAGAGAATTTCACTAGAAACCCGATTTTAATGGTTAGGGGAGTCCTAATTACTGTAGAGTAAGTATCTCAGTAGTTGTGATCAAATCAATCAGGAATGATGCTCTATACCGGTAAGTCGACAATAACTAAAAATCGTAGATATTCTTTCGAAATCAGTTTGATACAGACAGTCCGAAATAGATGACTTGTTAATGGAATTTGCAAGGTGATCCGCCTTGCTCCTTTTTAAAATCTGTATAATTTCAGAATTATTTATGGAATTCGCAAGGTGGTTCACCTTGCGCAGCATACAAAATTGCCTATTTCACCTTGCTTTTTCTGGTTAATGACAACCGAATTGTTCGAATTACTTTGAACCAAATTTTCGAAATATTAATTGGGCGAAAATTGGGTGTGATCCAGTCGACAGTTCCGATAAAATTATTAATACTAAGATAATGCATCAATTGTTGACACTGTTTTTGGTCAAGTTTTGGCCATGACTTCAAATCCCAGTAGCTCGAGAACGAGAACGATTATTTTAATGCTGATAGCACCACAAGAGAATATAAAACGCCACCATTTTTTTATGTATCATTAAGCATGATTAGACTTCATTTCAGATTTGTATCGAAATTAAATGTTTTGAGCTTTATGGTCACGACTTTTGACGTGAATCAATTCATGACACCCTTTAAAAACCTTGATGTTTGTATTTGATTAAATTAATATGCAAAATAATTTGATCAAAAATATAATTGTATGCATTTTGCAATACGTAGTAAAAAGTTACATGAATTAATTTAATTAGTCAGATTAAAAAAATGCAGTCACATTTTAATTCACTGACGTTGATCACAACAGTAGCAGCATAGTGGAGGCCATCCACTCGTTGCGACGAGCAATACACTGCTGCTTCTTTGTCTATAATAGCGATGGCTCTAAAGTGAGTACTTCCATGTATCACGTAGCTATGCACAACTGCTGTGACGCTCTCGTAGGCATGTATGGTGGGACAGTGTCAAGTGTTTCTAGTTGACACTCTATTTAAATACTTGTATTTTTTTGTTTGAGATTGAAAAAAACTGACCAGACTTCAGCATTGAGACATGTAATAAAATATAGAGACGAATATTATCATATCCAATCATACAAGGCCAACACGAAATATCGAGATGCTATTGGCTAAAAGTCAGACAGTCTCATAATTTGGTGCCGTGTCAACAATTGATGCATTACCTTACTCTGTATATGTGGCATCATCCCTCATTGAAGAAATGGACGACTTATGACTTGGTCAAAATAACTTGACCATACAACCAGGGGCTATTTTATTCCGTAGGCTCGGCCGATCGATGAAGATTGCAGTGGTGTGGGCGATTCTCTTGGTGTGGACATCATGCACCGAAGCAACTTGTGATGCAGACGCTCAGTGCACCATGGACGAGCGCAGTCAACTTAACTTCGACATCGTCGAAAGCGTTGTCTTGGCCTCATCCGTGTCACGCGTCCATCGATACACCGCCGCGTCGTACGCAGCCAACGACCCGAACGAAGTCAGACACGACATCATGTCATACACTCATCGTCGTGCGTAGGATCGATACGTAGTGCAAGTTGACTCGGACGCAGTGTTCGCGTCCGTCTTGGACGGCCACGGGGGCTGGCAGGTGGCCGAGTACGTGAACAAGCACTTGGTCAACGACACCGCCGCCCTGCTTCGAGATGTCGCTTCGAACGACCCCACCTACGTAACATGCGCTATCCATCATTATTATCTTACGGTGTGCTTGTGGTTGCATGCAGATCGCATCGTTGTTGTCGAGT